GGTCGTGGGCGGGGGCCGGCACCGGGTTCGCCCCCTTGGGTGCGGCGCCCGCCCCTCGCTCAGCCAGTGAGCGGGAACCGGTCTGTATGTGGGATCCGAACCCTCGGCAGGAGCGCCGCCGCGCTTCCCAAGCGGCGCACTGTAGCAGTGCGCCACCGGGCCGGCCCCTTGAATGCCCTTTATTGTTTTCCCTTGCCTTATTGCATAAGCTAGAACTTCTAGTACTATGTTGAATAAGAGTGGGGAAAGTGGGCATCCTTGTTCCACATCTTAGAGGAAAGCCTCCAATTTCTGTCCATTCAGATTGATATTAGCTATGGGTTTGTCATATATGGGCTTTATCGTGTTCAGATATGTTCCTTCTTTACCTAATTGGTTGAGTGTTTTCACCATGCAGGGTGTAGGATTTTATCAAATACCTTTTCTGTGTCTGTTGAAATGATCATATGTTTTTTTCCCTTCATACTATTGATGATGCGATGTATTTTTTTATCTTTTAATTGTATTTTCCCATCAACTTTCTGATACCCTCATATTAAGTCCTTTGAATTTGACTGTTGATCAAGCAAGCAGATAATAGATATATTTTTTTTTTATATTTTATTGTTTTTTGTTGGCTGACCAGTATGGGGAGATAAATATTTTTTAAAGGTGTGTAATGGTAACTTTGCCACCCACTTAGAAAGGTAGGCATGTTGTGTTGATTAAATAATCTTTCATTTCTGTTTATTAATATTTTGTGTTTTTGTACAGGTTGCTTTCCTGTTGCATCTTTGATATCATTTCCTAGACTCTGCTCCATGATTTAACTCAAAATTCTGAAATGAAGATGGAGGAGGCAGTGGGAAAAGTCGAAGAACTCATTGAGTCTGAAGTCCCACCAAAAACATCTGAACAAGAGACAGCAAAGGCAGAAGATGGATCTGTAGAACTGGGATCTCAAGTTCAGAAAGATGGTGTAGCAGATTCTACAGTTCTTTCTTCAATGCCCTGTTTGTTGATGGAACTGAGAAGGGACTCTTCTGAGTCTCAGTTAGCATCCACAGAGAGTGACAAGCCGACAACTGGCCGAGTTTATGAGAGTGACTCCTCTAATCACTGCATGCTTTCTCCTTCCTCTAGTGGTCACCTGGCTGATTCAGATACATTGTCTTCTGCAGAAGAGAATGAACCCTCCCAGGCAGAAACAGCAGTAGAAGGAGACCCTTCAGGAGTGTCTGGTGCCACAGTTGGGCGCAAGTCTAGGCGGTCCCGGTCTGAAAGTGAAACATCCACTATGGCTGCCAAGAAAAACCGGCAATCGAGTGATAAACAGAATGGTCGAGTCACCAAGGTTAAAGGTCATCGGAGCCAAAAGCACAAGGAGAGGATCAGGCTACTGAGGCAGAAACGGGAGGCTGCTGCTAGGAAGAAATACAACCTGCTGCAGGACAGTAGTACCAGTGATAGTGACCTGACTTGTGATTCAAGCACGAGCTCATCAGATGATGATGAAGAGGTTTCAGGAAGCAGCAAGACAATCACTGCAGAGATACCAGGTAGAGGATGTTTTTTAAACTGACTGTAAAGCTCCTGATGGCATCTCTCAGCTGTCAGGCTCAGTTAGATGAGTGACACTTGAAAAAAAGTCCAGGAGACCTGCAGCTTTGTAAATTTGAAGACTGCAGTGTATTAACCAGACATGGCCAATTTAAAAAACCTATTACAAGGTTTCCAGTGCACTTTAGCACGTCAACAAAAAAACCCAAAACAAAACAAAAAAAATTAAATGAAGACTGCAGTGTACTAACCAGACATGGCCAATTTAAAAAACCTATTACGAGGTTTCCAGTGCACTTTAGCACGTCAACAAAAAAACCCAAAACAAAACAAAAAAAATTAAATGGTTAATGATAGGGACAAGATTATTTTTAAGTAATGGAATTTCTCACAAATCTCTTTCTCTGTAATATATATTACCTGAACGCCCATCATTGCCTTTTTAGCACTGCTTAGATTTAATATACTCACTGTTCTGCATTATTACTAAGCATGTTCTTCTCAGGAATAGGCACCTTGCTTTACTATATTGCCACTGCACTCGAGCTTATGGTGTCTGAAATAACACGCTCTATCTTTCATTAAAGTGTTCTAATAAGTGTTCCTCTTAAAACAGTAGTTTTTATGTGTTTCCCCCCCATTCAGTGCATGATAAGCTAGTTATCCTTGTTGCACCTTTTTCTATCCTAAGTTGTCACTCGTGTTGAAAAGAGTGTTTTTTGCAAAGTTTCCCCCTAATTCTCCAAGCTTTAAAACATTTGTTAGATATCTGCTTGTTCCAGCTTTCATCGGTGTAAGGGTCTGTAATTTATTACATGTTTGATAGATCTCCTGTCCTCGTATTATCACTCGGTACTGTGTACTGCAAAGGCAGTCTTGAGATTTCTTAGTGGAAGAAAGATCATGTCTGAACAGTTCTTAAGTGGTGAATTCTCATTATTGAAGAGACTCAATATCATTAGGAATATTTTGTAAACTACACAGTGTTTAACAGATCATGACAGTATTGTTTATTGCTACATTAAAGGGGGGAAATTTTGGTTTTCTAAAGTTTTATTGGTGACTATGTTTTTTTTCCTTTTCTGTTTCTATACATGAAGACAGCATATTGCTGATATACAATGAATATTTCAAGGAAAATCATATTGGTTAATTAAACCTTTAGCTAACCCTATTTATATAAACTCAATGACAAGAATGATTGGTTTTAAAGCACTTTATTAGGTATTCAACTTAAAGTAATTAAAGTCTCATCCATACAGTATATTAAATATGAGTTTTTAACAGTCTTTAGAAATACTTTTTACTGTTGAATTCTTTTGGTAGTTCCTTGTACTAAATAAAACTCCTGGGAAGAGAATTTAAGTGAAGCTCATTAGTTGAATGCATGAGAGAACCAGACTTTGAGGTTGTTCTAAGGCAGGTTCTAGGTATATTTTAGTTTTACCTTTAGTAATATTTTTAAGCAAGCCTTATTAACACCTGTAAAATTGTTTATGCATTCTTATATCATGTTCTAATCTGTTAATCAAAATCATGATGGATCTCTTGATGCAGTACCTAATTCCGCTTACTGAACAGGTTTTTATGTAACCACCCCAAAACTTTGCCTTTTTGCGGAAAGGGAGAAGATGGGGTGATAGAACTCCATTGTAGAGGTGGCATGAGAAGTGTCTTCATGCACACTCTCCCTGTTAGGCTTATATAGATTAGGAGTGCTTTGTTCATATTTTCCTAACCTCTTTGCTGATTGACTCCCTTGACCATTGTTTACAACTTCTAAAACACCAGGGTGGTCTGTTTCTTGTCTATTCTGAATTGTATGCTAACCAAATATCAAAGTAAATTATCTGTATCTTTAATTTAGTTTCTCTTGTTAACACCATTTAATAAGTTTGTAGCTTTTGAAAATATGTAGAGTTTTTAGGCTGGCTGGTTGGCTCAGCAGGTTAATGTGCAATCTTGTAACACTAAGGTCAAGGGTTTGGATCCCCTTACCGGCCAGCCACACACAAAAAGAAAATAATGTAGAGTTTTCAAAGGTAATTATGGAAAATCAAATGGTAGGTTAAGGTGCAAGGCCACTGTATATGACTGCCTGTGCTGTGCACTGCACAGTTTTGGGAAATGTCATTCACATGAGACAGGTATGAATAGTCTTTCCTGGAATTATGTAAAGCAGCAAAGAAGGAACAACCTAGAGTTTAAATATTAGGAATTTCAATTTATCATATTGTTCTCTCAAAAAGTGTGCCATTGTGCATTTTTAATATAAGTTATATTTCCTTCAGTTTTCTGAGTCACATTATAACTTTGGGGAAGAGAAGAGGCACACTCAATCTTATAGGAAGATCAATTGAGGAAAGGTTTTTTTTTTTTTTTTTTTAAAAGATGACCGGTAAGGGGATCTTAACCCTTGACTTGGTGCGGCGCACTGTAGCAGTGTGCCACCGGGCTGGCCCTATAAATTGTTAAGACAGGATAAATTATGAATTGACTTGAGTGCAACAACTTGGGCATTCAAGTGAACTTAAACTGGATGTACCTAAGAAAATCTCTTGGATGTTGAAATTTGAATCCAGCTGTTTACACAGAATGAAAACCAAGTAAAAACTAAGTTTCTGCTATGTTCTTTCATCAAGGTACAGCCAGTTTAGTAATTCAGAAATTGCTTATTTATAAACTTTTGGCAGCAGCTTAAATGTTAAAGGAATTATGCTAAATGTTCTCTTACACCAAATAGTTGCATTTCTTTTTTTAAAGTGCAAATAATGACTTATGCAGACTAATATGGTGCATGGTCATGCTTAATAATTGAGTTTATCTGGGGAACAGATGTTTATGAGACCCCTCCCCCCATTTAGCAGTAATTGATAGGCAGCTTAGTATTGACACCAGATCATTCTTGAAGTTTTGAGAAATTTGAGGGTACTCCAAAAAGTTCATGGAAAGATTCATATTATCTTTTAATTCTATTTTTACACAAACTTTGAAGTACCCTCCTATACTTATGTTTTAAGAATCTGTTTGGAGGTATTGTATCAGGATAATTCTGGCAGTACTTTCATTTGGGGATAGAGTATTTTATAGTAAATTTGTGGTATTTTACAGTGAACCAATGTAAAAATACTATGTGGTTGTTATCTTGAGTATTCATTATCAAATGTCTGCTTTATCTTTATTGAGTATCTTTTTGTGGTTTGATCATTCTTTTTAGTTTTATGATTAGAGCATTATTTTTCATAGGGGGACAGTTTCTTTGTAAAATCTCTTTTAAGTTGAGACTAGCTCTATAAAGTCTGCTGTGGGAGGGATTTTTATTTAAGTTAATATGAATAATGGATATTAGACTGTATTCAGTTCAATAAATTAATTCTCTGAATAGAGTAACATATGTGCATCCGTGTATATGGGTAGTGGGGGAAAGTTTTTCCAGTAACTGTTGTTTTTCCAAAAATATTTAGCATAGAGTTAACCTCAGGGTAACTTCATATTGTCTTGGCTATAATGACTTGCTTTCATGTGGTTTAATAGTCCACCATATAAATGCCTGTTACAGATTGAGGTTCCAAAAATATTACCCATCTTGGTAGGTAAGAGTCAGTTGTCTTTGCTGGTTTGGTTTGCCTTTAGAAAATCTAATTGATCTCTTTTGGAAAATGTCAGGGAGGCTATTGAGGAAAGCTGTCTAAGAGCACCTGAATTCTCAATCCATGCAGCCAGGCCAGACCAGCTCAGCCCCATTGAAGCCAGGATCTCACATTACTTACTCATACATATTTATACACTGAAGTGCATCATGATAAGCTATCATCTTGTCTCACAGCTTTTTCTGCAATGGAGATTATACTTAAGTAGTAAATCCTTTGTAGAAATTTTTGGAAATAGAAAAATGTGAGGTAGATTAAAATTACCCATAGTTCTGCTTTTGTTAACATTTGAATGTGTTGCCTTCCACAATATATAACAAAATTTGTCATACTGGGTATATGTCTGTCTTCCTTTCCCTCTTAACATTGCATTTTGAATATTTTACCAAAACACTAAATATTCTTGAATGTGTTGCCTTCCACAATATATAACAAAATTTGTCATACTGGGTATACGTCTGTCTTCCTTTCCCTCTTAACATTGCATTTTGAATATTTTACCAAAACACTAAATATTCTCCCTAGAATGTATGGACTTTGAATAATTTAGCTAACTATAAAAATAACTTCCCTAATATTAGTACTTCCCGTGGTTTTTAGGTTTTGCTATTATGAGTAAGGGTATGAACACTTAAGGCTATATGTTGACCATATATTGCCATGCTACTTTAAAAAAGTATATTAAGTCTGTTTCATTCAGGAGTTTGTTTATGCATTTTGTTCTTGATAGTATTTATTTTTAAAACTTGCTGATTTGATGGAAGAATTGTATCTTAGTGTTAATTTGCATTTCTTTGATCATTGAAAAATCATGCTTAGCCATTTGTATTCTTTTAGTAAACAGTCTGTTCATGTTCTTTGTACATTTTTCTCCTGGTACATGTGCTCTTTCTAATCAGTTTGTTAGGGTTCTTAATCTATTGGGGATTTAATTGCTTGGACGAATTCTGATATTCGTTTAGGCAGTGAGGACTCACAGTAGAAGATAAGACCCCAAGTCCACATAGGGAATCTCATGAAGCACAGTCATTGACCTTTTCCTAGATTGAATATAAAGTGGCTCTCCCTGGTCGCTAAAAAGCCCTATTACCCATTTTAAGCCCCTTGTAATATGGTTGTGTTTTGGTAGCTATTTAGGAGACTCACTAAATATATTGATAATAGAACACTGAAACAGAGTAGTCAGAAAAAAACTGTTTTCAGTTAAGTAAGTGCAAACGAGTCAGGTGAAATAATCCATGTAGTTTTCAATCTGACTTTATATTAGAATCATCTAGGGAGCATTTAAAGCTTCTGATACCTAGGTCCCACATTAGCCCAGTTTTATGAGAATCTTTCCAGTCTGACCC